TATATATATATATAATTTATTTTTTATTTTATTTTGTCGGCTTGCTATTTTCCTGCTTCCACCTTGGCCTTTTGCTCTTCACCTCTTCCTTTTCCTCATTCGTAACATTTACGGCATGTAGAAACAGACCCCTCTCCTTTCCTTCCTGCAGCCCCTCCTATCTTTGGTTCCTAGCACCTTCTGGCTTATCTCAAATTCGAAGGTCTCTAAAAAGGAGGCTCGGTGCCCCTCTCTGTTCACCACTGTCACCATTTTCGGTAAGGCTGCACTGTACTATGTTGCTTCATGATAAGGATCCATTCTGAGGAACACGTTAGGAGATTTTATCCGTGTGGGTATCACAATGCACTAGCACAAACCTACTACATGAGGCTATGTGGTACAACCTGCTCCTCCTAGGCTGAGACCTGCATGATACTGTGCGGAGTTACTGAATGGGCATGTCTGTTATAGGTCAACATGTGTGTTCCTAAACATATCTAAATATGGCATGAAAGCTAGGAACTAGCCCACCTGGGCTGACGTGTGGAGCCTGCAGTACTGGCAGCTGTTGTGTGACTGAGTGGGACACTATGGGACCCATTACAGAAACGGTCAACAGTGCAGTTAAGTTCCACTCCAGAAACAATTTTCTCATCAATACATTATTGTCAGTTTACCTGACATTTTTTTTTTTTACTTTGTAAACACTATTTGTGAACACTTGATCATAAGCATCCCCAACTCAACTCTCCCTTCCATTCCCCGAGGAACCCCCAACTCCTTATCCCTTCCAGTAATACCCAACACATCTCCCTCTCTCCCCTGTGTCCTTTGTTTGATAAACACTATTTAAGAAAAAAAAACTTTTGGCTTTTTATAACAACACTTTGATTAAAACATAAATTGTACTGTAGGCAACAGGAAGTTTTCAACACCGTTATAATCTTATGAAACTACTGTCATATGTGTGGTCTGTCATTTGCATCAATGTTATTATGAGTCCCATGACGTACATGTATGTCTCTCCACCTCAATCCAGCTTTCGTGGCCTACTTCCCTTACTGTAAGAAAGTGTAAAGACTGTCCCTATCCTAAAATAATCAAGCTCACAGACTGGCCAGTGTTGTCTCTCAGACAACCCCTTGGCAGACTTGGTCAGTCACCTACGTTTGAAGCCTCCCTCCCTCTGTCCTCCAGTTCCTTCTTCATCTAGGGCAGCCTCGTTCTTCCATTTACAGTCCTTTCCACACTATCGTGGGACTTTTGGGTTGTGTGTCTTCCCTACTGTGCCTGAGCTCCCTGAGTCATATCTGGGCTCTTTGGGATCTGTGCAGCCCTAGATATACAGAAAAGGGGCCTCTTGCCTAGCCTCCTCTACCCCAGGTCAGGAAGTTCTCCACCAAGTCATTCAGACAGACCACTGCTCCCTTAGCCCTCCTCTGGCTCTCTCCTGCCATGATCTCCTTGTCTCTCTGGCCTGTACTAGCTGACCAGCCCTTGGGCTGATCACTCCACCTCAAGCTGTCCTTCAGACCTATTCTGCATAAGGAAAGATAACCAGAAAAACGGATTTTCTTCCTTTTTGCTGGAATTTAATTTTAAAACCTAAATCTGAGCTGGAAGTGGTGGCACACACATATAATCTCAGCACCTGGGAGGCTAAGTGGGAGGACTGCTGTTAGTTTGAGGCTAGACTGTGCTACACAGTGATTTCTAGGCCAGTCTAGGCTGGTGTGAGGCCCTATCTTAAAATATGATACCCCCTCCAAAAAAAGATAATCTGATCAATTCTTATTTAGCAATTTTGTTGGAGAGAGTCAGCCTCTGGCATGACATTGCCAGTCCTTTACGGCACTGGTGCTGACAACCGCACAGTTCCTTTGCTCTTATGAGAAGTCTTCTAGTGTATGCCGTGAGGTACCCAGAGTGCATCTGCTCAATGAATGATGAGGTACTTTTGTTTCAAAGTGAAGTACCCTGGCTTTGTGGCCCAGCAGCATGGGGCTGACCCTAGGCTATGCCACTTACTGAAGATGTGCCCAGTCTCTTTTCTCATAAATAAAACCAACAACTACCTGATAGGGTTGCTGTAGGGTTTAAGAGATTAAAAAAGTAAATAAAATATATAAGAACAATGCACTTCACAGCAATGATGGGAAATAAAAAGAAGCACTTGGTGTATTTTATTTTTGAAAATATAAAGTTGAAGGCAGACTTTAACAACTTATACCTGACCAATGTTTCTCAATCATATACTGAAATTAATTCAGGGTAATCCTCAGATCTTACTGGATTCTCTCCAGAGCGCTGGCCTCCTGAGATGCGCTCTGCTGGTCATCACTGATTCTGCCCACAGGAATGAGTGCCATAAAGTACAGCAGGGCTGTGGGAGTTAGACTTTATCCCTTGACATCAGAAATTCACCTCCAGTTTACTGCACACAGAACAAGCAGGGCAGAGGGGGCCTGAACAACTCATGGGGTGGGTTGGGATCACTCACCATGCAGGCAGCCTGGACGGCCTCTGACACATTGGCGGCATTAGGCTCGCACCAGAACACATGGCACTCAAAGTGCTGGTTCCCTGTGTCCATGATGAAGGCAAATGTATGGACATCCTTACCGACACCCATGAAGGACAAAAACCGCACTCGACACTCCACCAAGACTTCCTCTTCATTCTGCAAGAGACAGTATTCAGCACCCGTGCTGTCTCAGAAGCCAGACAGCTGTCACCTACGATGTCATACCTTAAGCACCTCACAGAATCCAGCTCACAGACCCTGGTAGGACCTGCATCTTTTTAGAAAGCCAAAATGTGTTATAAATGGCCAGAGGCTATCACTGCTGCAGGTGTCTCCTGGTCTCTGATCACACTGTGAATGACACTCCTGTCATGGATTGGGATGTGTATCCTGTTCTCTACCCACTCTCCCCCATGCCTGCTATTCACTGAGGGGAGGAACAATGTGAGACATACTTGTAATACTGCCAATACAGGACACCATTTGCCTAGGTAAACCTCAAGGGCTCAGGAGAAAAGGATTCACTATGTCTCTCATTATTTGTTTTCACTCTAGCAAAACAGCACACTGAATCGTTTTTAACACCATGTAAAAAAAAAAGTTGCCTAATCAAATGTGTCAAATCATCCCCTTCCCACTTCTACAAACTTGTATCCAAAGGAGACTGTATGAAGATGTGTGTGGAATTCATTTCAGAGCTGTAAGGACCACATCCATTGTAACAACCACAGGCAATTATTTAGTAAACACTAGTTAAAAATGTCAGCTTTCAATTCTAACATTCTGGCTTGTTAACTATTTATTCTGGAGGGAGAGGAGCATTTCACAGGCAGACTATGCTGGTCAGAAGGGAAGTTTGGAGGTGAGATGTTGGAGTTGGGGTTTGAGAGAGAGAATGATGGGTAGAGGGGTGGTGTGTGGAGACAGCAGCATGTCCAAGACGCTGCAGCAGGACAGGTCTGGGAACATGCTTCAGGAATGGAAGGAAACCCAGCATGGCCTACCAGAGAGGCAGTCAGGCTGGTGTGGATCCTATCCACCTCAAGGGGGTGATGGTGGTTTGAAGGTGATCCTTTGGTGGCAGAAGCCAGGACAGGCTTATGAGCTGAGGCTTCACACTGTTGAAAAGTGGGTTGGATAACTGCCTGGCTTCAAAGCCTGGTCCTGTACTTCTGTGTGGTCTTAGATAAGTGACTTTGCTCAACAACCAGCATGGGATAATTTGGGCTGAGGTTAATACTGGCCTGTCAGTACCTTCCCTTGAAGGTACAAATTACTGGGCTTCCCTAACAGAAGCAACTTTTGAACTCAACCCCAGGCAGCATGGCCAGGTCTCCACTGGGGCCCTAAGACAGAATGGCCAAGATCAAAACCCACAAATGAGCTATAGTTAGCATCGCATAATCACCATGAGCAAATATTTCAATCTCTTGAGCAAATGAGGAAGGTGGAATCAGAAGCACCGGGATAGAAGCTTTCAGGTCTTGAGGAAGGCACAACTGGACCTTGTATGAACATAGGTCATTCTAATGACAAGTCAGTACAACCCCCAAGAGGTCAAGTCTTGGCTTACTTTCCAAATCTTATGAAAGATCATTGTATCCCAACCGTCCCTGTAGCTCAGGCAAGCCAATATCCTCTGCACCACCTCACCTTTTCGCTGATGACTGTCACAGTGGCATCAGCCACGTTCATGTTCACTGATGGCCAATCCTCCTTGTTGGATGAGGTTGTAAGACTTTCTATGGCACTGTTCAGGGTATCCATGCCTACAGATGGAAAGGATAATTGAGAAAGTCGCTCTGGAATGCAGTCAGCGACCCAGTAACAGCTAACCTAGGTTGATCTTTCCTCATAGTTCCTGAAGACAAGATACCTTATCACTCATGTTTGCTAAAAAGAAGAGAAATGCCAGCCTTTACAACAGGTCCCGAGGTCTTCCAGGGATCGTGTGTGTGTCCTGTCTATGAGACCAGGGCACTCCAACTGAAACTCTGTTCCAAAGATATCCCAACACCACGAGTGTTGCTTTTGTGTATGCAGAGGGCCTGGGGAAGGAGATGCAACAGAAGCCAGCAACTACCAGAGTGCCAGCCTTCCTTCACACTTGATAAGGCCATGTCTGACAACCGCATTACATGAATAGTATGTGCTATTCAGTGGGCTTCCTTGGTAGGTGTTCCTATGGGCTATTTGGAAGGCTAGGGGTAGAAACAGCAACTTAAAAAAAATTACATTAATTTTTCTTCTTGGAGTGGGCATATTCCATAGCATGCTTGTGGATGTCAGAGGATAACTTTATAGAGTTGGTTCTCTTCGATACGGGGATTGAACTCAGGTTGTCAGCCTTGGCAGAAAGTATCTTTACACACAGAGTCATCTTGCCTGTCCATCACATGACCTTCAGTCATTCCAAATGTATAGCTCAATGGTTTTCAACAGACTCATAATGTAGTCGTCGTCAAATTGAGTTTAGACTATTTTCATAACCCCTGGGCCTTTCAGAGGGCCATTCTCTCCAGGCTCCCCACAGCCCTGCCCCAAAGCAACTCCTTACTCGCTTTTCCATTTTTAACATTAAGAATCACAGATTTAATCCTAGCACTTGGGAGGCAGAGGGCAGACTGGTCTGCATAGCGAGTTCCAGGACAGCTGAAGCTAAAGGGAGACCCAGTCTCAAAAAACCAAAAGCGATCACACAGAGGATTTTTTTTTTTTTTTGAGGGTGACTTCCTTCATTTAGTGCAATGTTTTTAAGGTTCACACAGGCTGTGGCATCTTTCAGTACTTTGTTTTGCCAAATAAAACTCCACGATCTGCAAGTATCATGTTTTATTCACCCATTTGTCAGATAAAGGGGCTCGGATCACGTATACCTCATCTTTTTATTTGTATGTGTATGCGTGTATTACCTGCATGTAGGTAAGTACACCTGCGTTATGCAATGCCTGTGGAGGACAGAAGAGGCTGTCGGATCCCCCGGAACTGGAGTTACAGACAGTTGTTCGCGGCCATGGGGGTGCTGGGATTTGAACCCGCGTCTTCTACAAGAACAGTGTTCTTAACCGCTGAGCCATCTCTCCAGCCCCCATGTATACCTTTTTAAACTGTTATGAATAATGCAACTATGAATATTTTTGCAGTTCTGGGGGACAGAGGTTTTTGTTTCTGGTTTATGCAAGGTGATGATGTTTAACTTTGTCAAGAGCTGCCCAGATTGCCTCCTAAAGCAGCTGCATCAGTTCACACTGCCTGGCAGTGCACAGGGCTCCAGTTTCTCCATAGCTTTTTCTTGGCAAGTAAATGGTACAGATCTCTCCTCTCTGTCAGCTTGGGTGGGCGGAGCAACTCAGTTCCTGCAACTTGGAACTGAATGCTGTAAGTACAACTTCTGGGTCATAGTTTGAAGGTGTGGGGCTCTATCAGTCCTTCTTCCCTGTCCCCAGTGGGTAAGACGTGAACTGCAGTGGGAGCCTGGCCCAGCTGGGAGCCCATTCATTGGAGAAGAGCAGAGCACCTCTGCAGTCTGACACTTCAACTCCAGACTGCTGGGTAAACAGGAAACACACATATGTCCTGTTTAAGTTCCCATATGTTTGGATCACATGTCAAGTCAGGTTAGCATGTCCTCTACTGCCCATCTGATCAGGATGGTTATGTGTTCAGGCTGGTAACAGCTTGAAGGCTTGATTCAAGACAAGGTGAGGCATGATACAGGAGACCTCACACCCTTGGGAGAACAAACACCCCTCTTGAGCTCTGGAACACTTGCAAAGTGGAAGAAAAGAAGTGTTTTACCTACCGACGGGTCTGTCCACAGGCAACATGCCCAGGTACTGCACGTGGAACTTCTGCACCAGCTCAGTCTTTGGTGTTGGAAAATCTACTACAGGGAACAAAAGCAATGTGTTTCTCAGTGCTTCCAGAGACGAGTGAAAACCAACTTTCCACCTGGCACCTGTTGGCCCAGCCACCCACACCAGGATGTCCTGTTTCCAGACATTCTACAAGGATGACATTTCTCAACTCCAGATACAGGGCTTTGTCAGTCAAAATCCTATCCAACTTTCTGTCAAGGTAGAAAAGCGTTTGAAGACAACAATCAGGCATGTTAAGGCTATTACTATCTTTGATATGTGTTAAGAAATAGCTTTTTGTGCCTTCTTTGTTGGGTGTGGCTGGTGCCCAGAGAAAGTTTAATCACAAAAGGTACAATCAAAGACCCCAATTAACAATTCACATATTTTTAAACTAGCCAGTCCTTACCCTAGGGTTATAAACAAAAACCAAATCAAAACAAAATACCAAACATACTGATGTCAATAGCAACACAAAGCAACAAAACCAACTGTCTTTAGTGCTTAGCACTACTGACAAAAGCGACCCTTGGCCCTGCAGGGCTTGGCACAGGCTCAGCTCAGTTTTTGCTTTTGTTTTGTTTTTTTGAGGCAGGGTCTCATCTGAGGCAACTGGGCTAGGCTCATGTTCAAGATCCTCCTGCCTCCACCTCACAAGTCCTAAACTGACAGGGCCTGCATGCCCAGTTCTTGAGTGTGCTGTTTAAGATCTGAAACAACCTGAGAACCTGGAGACCCTGCAGCCCCTCCAAGGTGGACAGAGCTACACTGGAGGAGGAGACTCTGCTGACATACCTTGTAAAGGAACATCGAGATTCACGTTGGTCCTCTCCTGTAAGGAGCTACAGGCCAGGGCTTTGGCATTCTTCCGCTCAGCCATAATCTAGATAGCAAATCGAAGTGTAGCTTGGGTTTGTGGTTATAGATCCCATGTCACCTGAGTCAATTTCACCAGGATTTAAACTGGCATTTATCTTTTTCCTTCTTTCCCTCCCCAGTATCCTGTATAAGAATCCCACCTTTTCCCCTTTGGGGATGATAGATGAACTTTTCCTCAGATTAACAATCCCTTAACTGCTTGGAATTCTTTCATTTACCAGGCTCTCACCTCTGCCCAACAAGTCCCCTCTGGGGACACCTGGACCTTCTGGCCTCCGTGCTCAGGGAGCACATTACATTTCCCTGGTGCTGCCCCACATGAACTTTTAGATACTTTTCAGGGCTCTGGAGGCAGAGTACATGGTTCAAATCCCATCTCTGCCCACCATAACTAGCTGTGACCTTGGACAAGTTAGCTGACCTCTGTGTCTCATTTCCTTGACTGTGTACAGAGATGACAAGAGTATTTATGTCACAGCACAGTTCTGTGGATTAAATGAGTCCAGAGGGCTCAGAAATGTCAGCTGCTGTCATTGCTGGTATTCTTGGAGTCTTTGGGGGTGGGGGGAGAGGAACTCTGTGAGGAACACTGAAAGCCGCTGTGCTCAGGCATAGTACTTTTCACTCCTGCTCCCCACTGGTTACACAGTGCCATGGGTTTATGGACTGAAAGATGCCCAGCCACCAGTGACCCCAGAAGTAACTCACACCTTCAATCCCAGCCCAAGCTTTTCACGACAAGGTCGAAAGTCATTTCACCCCAGAGCTCCACAATGCCTAGCAATCCAGATCTGGGCCTGGGATAGTGGGTAGGAAGGCTGCTGCCAACAGTATGTATCGAGCACTCACTCTGCGCCTGGCGGTTCTGAAGGCCTGATGCTGGGGCACAAGGTTGTGTCATCCCCTGCCCCCCTGCCATTTTGGACATGCTGTCTCTCTAGTGCCTGGCACAGCACCTGACATATGCATGGCATTCAACTGTATTTGTTACATGAATAAACGAGGAAAAGGGAAACCCAGAGGATGTACTACACATGCTACTAAAGACCCAGCCCCACTCTGGCCTGTCAATGAAAGGCTGTGAACACGGGTTGGGAGAAATGTCATCGCCAGACCCACCCCTTCGCCACACACTCCTGTTGCACGGTCAGATCATCAGGCTGGTAGGGAATTACATTTTGAGGCTAGAGACTGCTCTTGCCTCTGCCTCTCCCTTGCGCCCTGCAGCTTGCGCCTGCTTCACGCCTATAGCTCAGTTGTTAGGCTGGGCCATGGCTGTGGCCTGGGCTAGGTTGTGCCAGATTAGGAGAAATTCTGGGAGGGAAGCTGGATCATGACATAAGCATAAACAGAAAGGGGACAGAAAGGCCTGTGTGAAGGAAGCTGGTGACAGTACATTGGTGGCCTGGCCACCTACCACTGGAATATAAATGAGGGGGTGATATGTCTGCTAAGAATGTCAAGCACCCCAATACTACATCCTTGGAGGTCTGGTCTCAGCTGGCTCTTTTGGAATACTGATTTTTTTGGGGGGGGGGCTGGGTAGGGGAGACCCACCAGCAGGTGCCCAGGAGAGAATATTAGGAGTGTGCCATAGCCAGAGTACATGCCAAGCCTTGTGAGATCTGGAGGGCAGCCACAGGGACAATCTGAGGCCCTCCCCATCTCTGTTGCTACAGACTCAGATGTCAGGTAAGTGCTTGGGGATTCTTGGGAGGAAGATTTCAGATCTATAGCAGAAAGAACTCTGTTAGCAGCCAGAGCTGTTTAGAGGAGGACAGCCTCCCCAGAAGTTCATGCAAAGTATCCATAGGGGAAACTGTGCTGTGGACGGGGATGGAGCAAAGCTACAATGGCATGCCAGACTGGCTCATCTTATTCTAAGACTCAGGGACTCTAGTGAAGGAAGCAGGGTCCTTATCAGTGGGGACGATAACTGAGGTCCTGCCTCCCAGTGTCACAGGGGGCTTCCCCAAGCTGCTGTGTGCCACCATGTAGTCAGTGTGTGGACAGGACCTCCAGCCACCCACATATCCAGACACCTCAGACAGTGTCTTCCTACCCTCCTTTTCTTATAGTCTGCTTTCTGCCACATCCACTCTCAGATCAGGTGGTCCTGCCTGGGAATCTGCCCTGGTTTCTTCTCTCTGTTTTAGGGGTGCACATCTCTACACTCTACCAGCCACTATTTGGCCCAACTATAGTACATAGATATGCCCCAGCCTGTGGGAAGGAATATGGCTCTCCTCACCTCACAGAAAGTGCACTTGTAGGAATACCCGGCCCACAGGAAGAGTACAGCTGGGCCCCATCTACCTGAGGTTTCCACAAGCAGCCAGGGATCAAGAATGTCACAGTGTTACTGGGTAGTATGTAGTGAGATCTATGAAGGCTGCACCTGTGTTGTACAAGTACAAATTTTTAATTGTCACGATTCCCAAACAGCTTCTAACAAAGCATGGGTACTGTATTAGGTATTCTAAGCAATCCAGGAGGCTGTGCATAGGTTATATGCGACTACCACACCATCTGATGAGAGACTTGAGTATCTGAGGATGTGGTATCTCTGATGGGACTGTTACCAAGGCCCTTAATGACATGGGCTGACTGAACACACACTCTTCCTGAACTAGATTTGCAGGGCAGCTCTCCTGCCCTTTCACTGCCTTTATCTGCTCAAGCAGTGAGGAGAAGGGGGTGACCCCTGCTCTCGGACCCACCTTACCTTGGAACAGATTTCGTGGAGACTTGTGGCGATGGCTTTTGCTGGTGTATCACATCGAAATACATGACATTTCAAAATTCGTGTATCTCTGTCTCTTGCTACATAAGCAAAATCCCTGTGCAAATAAAATTTATCAGGACTTTAGAAAACAGAACCTTTTACTAACATGTTCTCTAGTTATGAATGTTAACTCAGCAAGCAGCCAGCGTGTCAGTGAATTGTGTATGAAGATTAAAAACAAAAAACAGAATTTCAACAGCTACAGAAAACAGAAACAGTTTTGTAGACATTGGGGATTATCTCTACATGAATAAACCTGGGCTCTTGCACTTTGGGGCTGGGGAACAACCCAGATGAACACTCAATTCTGCAGAGCTCTTCTGTCTAGGGCAGTAACAAATATGAGGATGAGACAATGGACACAGGACTGGGAAGAACATGAACTGCATGAGTGGTAGAACAGCAGACACAGCGGGACAGCAGGAGCGAAACAATGGGCCCTGATGCCTGGCTGTGTGCACAGAGGGTGGGCCAGCCCCACAGCTGCTTGAGAAAGTTGATGGGCAATTGGAGGGAGCACTGGAGCATGAGAAGGGAATACTGCCAAAGGCATGTGACTCTGCTAAACATCTGCACCTGACCCCTCAAGTTAGCACCTCATATTACATACCGTTAGCTCAGATGCCTCCCGAGCAACTGGTCAGTGCTGGATTTCTGCATTTGTTTTACTGATAGGATTCCACTATGACATAACTTGACTTCAAATCCGTCATATTATACAACCAAATTCCTCACTGCTATTTCTGGAGAACAGTGGTTCACCAAAAAGGAAAAGTCCTTATGAAAAATAAATGGCCAGCTTTGCCTACCCTGTCACAACTACAATGCTACATCACATGATGCTAAATCAGGGTACTGCGTGTTGACAATGTCCCACTGTGTAGCCCAGGCTGGACTGGAACTCACAATCTTCCTGCCTTAACTTCCCAAAGGTTGGGATTATAGGCATGAGCCACCCTGCACAGCAAATGAATTTATTTTTAAATTACTTCTGTTTATGTAGTGGGTTTTAATTTTTTTAAAATTTTTAACATTTATTTTTTAAAATTAGGGGTGTGTGTATGTGGTGTGTCTGTGTGTGTGTGTGTGTGTGTGTGTGTGTGTGTGTGTGTACACTGAGTGCAGGAGGCTGTGGAGGTCAGATGCATCAGATCCCCCTGAAGTGGAGTTGTAGGCAGTTGTGAGGTGGGTGCTGGGGATTGAACTAGGGTCCTGTAAAAGAGCAGTATGCATTCTTAACTCCCGAGTCATCTTCTGAGCCCCTATTTAGTGTTTATTTGAGACAAGTTCTCATTACATGGTCCAGGCTGCTATGCGGTCAGGGTGGTCTCAAATTTGCAGTAATTTTCTTGCCTCTACCTCCCTGAGTGCTAGAATCACAGGTGTGAGCTACCATGAAGGCTAAATTAACATCTCATGTAGAAACTGGCACAGGCTGTGACTGAGTGCCTCTTCCTCCCTGAAGCACAAGCCTGCTCCACATATTCCTAGTGCCTGTGGGGAAAGGCAGTCCTTAGCCACAAAAGAATGGATTCCCTGACACTAGGTGGAGTTGGGTCTGAGTGAGGAGCTACAGATTGGGGATGGGGCAAGACTTTGAGGGGTGAACAGTGTTGCTCTTCACTGTTCCTGAAGCCTTTCCATCCTATTCTCAAGCACATGACCTAAAAAAGTTAACAGTTCACTTTTGGAGCCACTCAAGAGAAGCCCAGTTCTTGGCTGCCCTCCCCAAGCTCCCTACATTCTGTAGATGGTTCATATGCAATACATACAAATGTGTCAGACACTGTTCCTTTAAACTTCCAGGCTTGGCCACTGTGTTTCTGAGGCCAAATCTCTCCAAATCTCCCTGGGGTCACCCATAGAAAGTCCAAACACCCTTGGTTGGATTTTAAGAGTTGCAAAAATTTGGTCCAACAACTTTCCAGCATTATTTCCTCTATTTAAGGAGCCAGTGTCCCCCTCCCCACCCCCAGAAGAGGGGTGTGCTTGTTGTATCATCTTCTCTCCCTTGGTGACCCCTGGCCCTCCCTGCACTGTCCAGTGCATGCTCACCTACCCAGTACAGCCCATCCCTGAAGCCTGCCTGGCCCCATAGCTGACAAGGCCTTGCTTGTTTAATGCTCTCAATGTGCAAATTCTACACCACAGTAAATTCTGCTATCCTTTGTTTTGTAGGTATGTATAGGTCTCGGCTTTATCCTCTGTAAGGGCGAGGAAGGAGCACCAGAAGAGCACTGAAGCAGGAGTCACGAACCCAGCTTCAAGTCGCACTCCTGATCGCACTTAGCTCACATCCCTAGCCCCCAAATCCCAAATCCAGAACTTTCTGGGTGCTGACACAAAAGAAGATTCCATTCAATGGAATCTTGTTTCTTGTACAAAATTATTAAAAGATTGTTAGAATTGCCTTCAGCCTTAGCGAACCAGGTGCACATGAAGCAGAAATAAATTTCATGTTTAGTTTTGGATCTCATCTTGAATACATCTTTTCATGTGTATGCAAACATTCCAAACCTGAACTCCTGGTTCTGACTGTCTTGGAGAAGGGATGATAGACCTGTATGACCCAGGCCTGGAGGTTAACCTCATCTTTATGTGTATGGAAAGAAAGAGTTATTCTCAAAGTTGCTTTGCCATTCTCTGATGGAAGCTTGCAAGACCCAGCATCCTTTCCCTGACTGCTGGCAGGCCTGAAGTGTAAGGTTCCCAAGGTTACCAGTGGAGAAGATGGAACACGCCTGGATCAATAACCACTGGATCATTTCGATCAAGCACCGGCTTTGTGCTGTCTGTTCTTTCATATGTAACCCCTTAGGCGTAATTGTAAAAAATCACTATTATTAATCTTCATTTTCTTTCAGCTCAGGGGAAGGTGATAAATGCCTCAGGGCAGCCATCTGGAACCTGTATCTTCCCAAAGGAGAAATTCAGCAGCCTCAGGCTTTTCTGGGAGGGATGCTCACAGGGTGTTTTTTTGTTTTTGTTTTTTTAAGTTTTCTCCCATTTAAAAAATTTGAACAGCCTTATCTTTTCCTGCTTCCTCTCAGGTAGGAGGCTAACCAAGAAGAGGCAGAAATCTGCCAGTCCAGAGTGGCAGGCGAGACCAGTCATTGATCCCTAGGAAGCTCTACCGGCCTCTCCCTCTCCTCTCTCCATAGAGTCAAGAGGTCTGAGCTTCTCCAACTTCATCCCATGGTACACATCCCTAACCCCTGAAAATTGCTCTTAGTCCTCAATACAGAGGTCTGCACAGGTGATGAGGCTTGGCCCTCAGACCCAGAGCTCAGACAAGCACGCAGGGTGAAGTCCGAACACATCTTTACTGACTAGACTCTTTTCGGCACCTGCCTTCTGGAAAAAGGCTGCAGTGGCAGGCACAATGACTTCCCTCACCCCCAAAGGTGTTCCTGTCCTGACTCATGGACTCTGGGAAAAGGACCTTTGTAGATGTGCTAAAATAAGATCTTGAGGTGTGTGTGTTAGTTTGGATCCTGAGTGGCCCACTGAAATCCCAAGGGTGAGAAAGAAGCTCATGCCTTAGAAATCAAAGGACAGGAGCATGGCTACCAGCCAAGGGAACTGGCGAAGGTGGGACATGTGCTCCTCCTGAAGTCTCTAGAAGAAACACAGCCCTGTCGTCTTTAGCTTGTAAGAACCACTGTAGACTTCTGACCTCTCTTATAGTAAGAGAATAAATCCTTTGCTTTAAGCCACTTAAGCTTGTGGTCATTTGTTAGAGCAGCAACAGGAAACCACTACAGCTGCCACATGGCTAAATTACAGTGTGGGATTCAGGATTTATATTTTTTGAAATATTCAATTCACTTTCACAGTATCCTTTGGGGCCACTATCAGGTACCAGGTACCAGTGATGCAAATGCAGATAGACAAGCTTCTAGTCCAAGAAGCCCATTGGCCTAATGCAACACACTGGTCAGAGACATATAAGCTGTGTCTTTAGGGCCTCTCCAGGGTAAGAAAGAAGATGACTCAAAGGAAATTCAAATGACCACAACTGAAGGCACAGAGGTAAGTGAGCCCAGGGGAGCATGGGAGAACTCCTGGTTGTCCTCGGCATTCACTAAGGGTTGTGGAGAGGGGCTGTGGTTATGTTGTGGCTACAAGGATACTGACCGAGGACTAATCAGTCTGCACAGCGTGTTCTCCCCTGCCACGAGTCTGGTCCTTATTCTGAGACAGTTAAGCCTTACAATATCCTGTGTGACCTCACACATGTGATGTGTGCTTCAGAAAGCCTATTCTGGTGAAACAAAGTAGGCCTAGGGAAGAAGGCCACTGGGGGTTACTGCTGTGGCAGGGATATATAGGCTAGGTGAGGATCCATTAGAACAGAGAGGAGACTGATGGGAAAGCAGTGTTCGAAGAGCAGCTGGTAGGACTGGTACATGTGGAAACGAGGAGGGGATTCTGGGAATCACCACTGAGACAACTAAGCATCCCCATTCCGGAGGCAGTGTGGGGGAGAGAAACGGTGTCATGGTAAAGGGGCTGCTGGCCCCTGGATGGATGCGGAGTGGGAGGGGTTTGAGAGGTGCCAGGAGGGGAGCCCACTGAGGTGGACATTTGTTGCTGGAGGTCTGGATGGGAGATACAGATCTGGGAGACAGCTGAAATCAGTGGAGCAGATTAGTGTGGAGAGTGGGAAATGATAACACAAGGCTTGACACTTGAGGAAGGACATTCAAAGGCTCCAATGCAGAAACCTTTAACGAGAAGGTAAGGAATTGGGCAGAGGGTAGGGAGGCTCCAGGGTAAAGCTGAGGGAGGTTCAAGGACTGAGGGACTGAGAACTAAGAAGCAGACCATCTTGTTTGGGTGAGAGGAAGGGTGACAGCGACTTTGGAATCTAAGAATATGGAATCTAAGTTGAGGAATATTGAGTTAAAAGAGAAAATTTGATTCCTTATTTACCTATTTTAAAAAACCATTTCTCACTTTGGAACTCATCAAACACATATCAAAGCAGAGAAGATAGTAAAATAAAGCCCTGTGTCCTACCACTCAACACCCACAATGATCCAAATGTTACTTACCAGCTTTGCACGTTTTACCACACACCAGTGCTATGGTGTCACAGGTCATTATACTTACAAGTAAGAGCTACTCAATATTTTCTAATGCTTTTCCTGTATTCTGAAGGGATAAAACTGCTATACTGTATACACCCATCCATGGCCAGAGGCTCCCTGGTAGATGGGCTAATGACCATCCTGGTGCCAGGCTCAGGAAGAGAGCACTGGGGGCCACGTGACTGTCAGGTGTCATGTTCCACTTGGTCTGTAGCATCTTGGACACTGCATGGGGTATAGGGCTAGCTTGGTCTCCAGCAGCTCAGACACAGTGAGGGGAATGGGGTTGGCTCATTCCCAGTGGATCAGACACCATGGGGTAGCTGGTTAGTTTAGAATAGGGACATTTCAAGAACCTTCCCCTGGGAAGCCCTGGATGGCCATCTGCCAACCTATTTCTCTCCTAAGAGTCCATATGGTATTCCTGGTTTCTGGAGCAATGTCCTGGCTCAGATATAGGCTTCTTTGTTGCTCCCTGGTGGCTGGGTATCTCACATAGCCAGACATCCTCCAGGGACTTAGCATCTCATCTACAAAACCACACCACTGGTCCAAATGGTCACCAGGCTCCAGTCACAACATGGCTTCAATTTTCCCACTCAGTCTTCAGATAGCTTTGTCGAGATAGGTAGAGGGCAGCTGTTTTGCCCATAGTCCCACTCCATATCTTTTGTGTTATCACAGGACTCATGGAGTTCTGTTCTATAAACTGGGAGGTGGGAAGTTTGCAGCTGTAACCTCTTGTGCCTCCTTCTTAAACTCCAACAGACACCAGTAACAGGAACCAATTCCCTTTAGCAGTTTGATTACTGGGCCTGTGTGTTTCCAATTCTTTTTGTTCTTGTCCTTTCTGTCATGCTCCCCAGTAATTATTCCCCCAGAGGACCAGCCTCAGGTTCTGCTGGAGAGAAAAATATCAGCACTAAGACATCTCTGACAGCCTCAAATTTTTTAATGGCAAAGCAAAGAACCAAAGACTGCTTTCATTATTCTCTGTTGTACGGCATTGTAATCACCCTGCCGGGGCTTGCCCATCTTTACGGAATGAACGAATAAACAATTCTTTATTCAAATGGCTTCTATTAAAAGACAGCCAAGACAGAACAGTTTGTGCTCTTTTTCAATCTCTCCCGCAGCTCTCTTAGAATACATGGAATTTGCTGATGTATTTCTCTCTCCTCCAAAGGAATGGAAGAGGTGTTTGCAGACCTTTTAGCAGTTATATACATTAACTGCTCAAAATCCCCGCCCCAGCAACCCTGACAGGTGGTACCTAGAGTAACTCGAGGACAGAAAATCCCATTTCCTTACTGAACTATCGTGTCTTGTTGCTGGAAGGCTCCCAATGTACACACACACACACACACACACACACACACACACACACACACACTCCTTAATGAGAAAATGGAATTCACTTCCTTGTAATTTTTGCTGGTTGGAACTAGTTTTGCTTTCTGGGAGACCCTAAACAAGCTGACCATGTTGGCTATGCTGAAGGCTCACACAGTGACCCTCCCTCCTCTTTCCTATTTGACTCATTTTCCACCCACTGTCTCACCAAATCGCCTTTGCTGGCCTTTCTTAGGAAGGCTCCACAACTGGATGACACCTTTCATGTAATTCATATTTGCTCAGGCCAAATACATGTTTTTACACAGGGAATTTGTGAAGGCTGGTCCATGACATTTGCTAACTGGTAGTTACCATTATAAATGAGGGAAAAGTAAAGAAAAATCCCAATTGAAATGCACTCTACTATCCATGAAGGATGTTTCAATTAATGCCTGCATTGACTGAATGATATGACAACTACCTAGAATGTCTATTACCCTTTCCTCCCAGCCTGCCTTTCTGTGGAGGCTACAAGCCAGCAGAGTGGTTCTTAGCAGAGAGGGCGGGGTGCACCTGCACATCAAGATAGGATGGCTATGAAGGAACTTGATCCAAATAAAGTTTTCTCTCCCCTCTGTCTCCCTCTCACAGGGCTCATCCAACCTGAAATTTGGAAGGTGGCCCACACCACAGCACAGTGTACTGACAAGGCTCCCGGGATACATCCGAGGGTGATGACCAATACCTACAAGGCCTGGGAGGAAAATAAGTCCTGTTTCCAAGGCTGTCTGCTCTGATTTTCAGATTATACTCTGAAAATTTTGTTTTCGGGGGAGAACAGGGAAGAGGGACAAAGGACATGTGGACTTCCACCTCCTAGATGCCAATTTAGAACGTCTGCCTGCCTGGCTGTCTTCAGTGGTGTTTTTCTTTTACATTTTACCCAATAGGCACCACATATAAACATCACTAATTTCATGAAGCCCAGGGTCCACCTTGGTAAAAACTTTCCTTTGCTTCTTCTAAGAAGATACTAAGTTCTTGATCTCTGAAAGAGGCATCCCAGCAGCTTGTCACTTGGGTAAATACACATTTTCCACAGGGAATTCTTCACTGGGCACCTTTTTGAGATTGGATTCTGTAAACTGGATGCTTGGAATTCTACCATCTGCAACAAGCAAGATAGCTTGAGCAGAATGTGTCATGTTCTCTGATTCACAGTCTTGCTGTTAATATCAGAGCAGCTCTCTTCTGGTTAAGGAGACCTAGATACACAGGGAGGGCTGGAACTGTAGCCTATGCTCAGGCCTGAGACTCCAGAACACCTACCACCACAACATACACACAGGAGAATTTCTCCTAGTCACATTTTCTGGTAGTCCAATCTTAGAAGTATGATGCACTCAGTCTACACACTTTCCCCTTCCCAACCACTAAGCTCATGGCAAGGCAGAAAAATGCCCACCAGCTGGGACGGCCACATGCCACAGTCGGACAGAGGCAGCCACATGCAGCAAAAGGACTGGTCTTCACTTTCCAGCTCCCGGCCAGGCAGGAAGTTCAGGGGAGACAGACTCCCAAGCAAAGAGGAGCTCATCTTCCAGTCTCTTAACTATACCCAGCAGTGACCACCATCATTCCTCCACTGAGAAACTTCTCAAATGCCTTTCTTCCATCAAAATGGATTTTGCATGAAGTAACGGTGCTGGTGAAGAGTGGAGCTTTAAGCTTCCACAGTCACTTGGGGGACTGACATTCAGGTTGTTTGAAAACCACCTCTGAGGTCTAAGCATCTTTAATTTCAAGGTTACATTCCTTCTACTATTACATCTTTCATGTGGTGGGAAAGGAGAATAATTCCATACATTCTGGCTAAAAACTAAATATTGACTCCGTCATTCTGGCCAGTAGCAGGCCTTACCAAGGACACCCCAGCGAATACACAACAAAGCACTAACAGTCACTCTTCAAGAAGCATGTTCAATGTGACATGGAACTCAGACATGTCTATCACATTTACTCCCCTCCATGCTGAGTCATTTGTTCAGCCATTAGTGGAATGACCAGGTGGCTAGTCACACAGCCCCGTCACCTTTCCCAAACAGGACCCAAACAGTGAAGGGTTAGAGGCCCAGATGCAACTCCAGGCTCTGTTGCAAATGATGGTAAGAAAAGGTTAAACAAAACAAAGTTCTGCCTCTCAAAGGCAAAGAAAGCTGTGAAGATGGTGATGGACATGGAGGAAGCCAGTGAGCTTTGCCAGCACATGAGACAGACACCAGGGAAGGGGAGAAGTGAAATCCACATTACCTCTCTCTGAATCCAGGAAGGCATGAGGGACAGAGCAGAAACAGTAGGTTAGCATTCACTCTGCAGCCATATACAACAGCAACTCTGAGCGCCGGCATCCCATCGTATTTCCCAACTTTGCAGCCATTAATAGCCCTTCTGTGCTTATTTTAAATGAACCCTATCACCCAGAAGAGTGTATTTTGAGCCACGTAACAGTGAAGCCAAGAACTGACAGCTGAATTTACAGAGGCAACATATCAGCCGGGGGAGGTAACCATGCTTAAAATATCTCAGTCAAATACAGGAAACTGTGCAGGAAACACTGGCAGAGGATTTATCTTCTTTCTCCAGTCCCACCTGCTCCCAATTAAAAACAAAACAAAACATACAGAAACAATGACATGGATGCAGTCTTACCTGCTTTCCAACACCCCAGACATTTTATTAGGAGAGCCACAGCTCTGAAACTCAGGGGCTTTCGTGAAAGGCCCTCTTAGAGGGCAACAGGGAGGGACACAGAGCAGAAGGTGGAGGGCAGAGGTGAGAACAGAGCCATGAGATGAAAATTCCAAGGGTGAGGGTACAGAGAAGTGCCAGGAGAGAGGAGGGGGCTGCAGAGGGGAGCTGAGAGCAGATGGGAGGGTTTAGTAGTGAGTTTGAGTTCCATTCCCAGAGCTTCCCTGAGTTGCCAGGGCACTTAATCCTCCATCTATTCTATTCTGTCATAGGCAATGTAAAGTGCCCAATGGCAGAGTCTGTTGAGTGACACATATGTGTTATATACAGCAATGGACTGAAGAGACAGAGTACCAGAGGACTAAAGATAGCTAAGCCAGTAGGAAGAGTAAAGGATGCAGGATCACAAGGGCCTGCTCTCTTCTGGGCCCTAGTCTGGCAGCTGGGGTCACCAAGGCCAGCAGAACAACCAACTACACGCTACATAATGAGTCAGAAGGACAGCGATGTTACACCCTGCCTCAGAATGATGCCTGTATATATTACCACACGGGAGAGAGAATGCATACCCACAAACCCAAGCTGAAGTTACATAGTCTCATGTGAAAAGCCACAAAAAGGTTTGAGTGTGCATTTTAATAAATGCACTGTGAACAATACAACATCCAAACTGTCACTGTGGAAGAATTATGGACAGTTTTATTAAACACATTTGTTTACAAATTATAAATAGGCACAAATGAATTTTGTAATACAATGTACATATATCTACCTTGTTATTCAGGGAGAACCACTGTGATCAGTATGATCCAAGTATCAGCATAGGTGACACCATTAGTATTCATGACTACAATAACACACCCAATAACTACGCTTCATCGAGCCCCTGCCAGTATTATGGTCCTCACTGACATATGGAAACCAGTTCAAAGAGGTCAAGGAACTTGGTCAGGTCACATAGCAAATCCATAGTGAAGACAGGTTTACTGCCACAACCCTCTAATGGTCTGTTTCCCAAATGATAAACCCACAAGGGGCTGAACAAGTTGGTTCAAGGCAGGGTCAAAGGGTCTAGCAAGGAATCTGGGTTCTTGGAGGAACAGGGAGCTCAAAGTTCCCAGGAGAGGCTCTTTAGGCTGAGGGGGTGGACAGAGCCCAGATCTTCCAGCATGGATCTCACCCTCTCAATCCCTGATTTACCAGACCTCTCCCATCTGCCAGGCACAATACATTAGATGACTCGGATTACTCATCAGTGAAAAGGGAACGAGGACACTAGCTCAGAGCATTCATGGGAAATGAAACTAAGTGAGATGGAGTGTCAGACGCATAAAAAAGATGCAGCGACCTGCATCATGGGAACTGTTAGCACAAAGTCATATCTTACCAGTCTGGGCTGAGTGGCATTTGACCTTGAGAGTTTGTTTGGTGGTACTAGAAGGGAAATGCAGCTATTTATATATCCTTGACCAAAGAATGGTCCTCCTCTATTGGAGAGGGCTATCTTCTTCTATTGAGCATGCAGCTTTGGGAGAAAGGAAGGGGAAATTGCCTCGCCACCCAGATCAAGTGTATGAACCCTGATGATCAATGAGGTGACAGAGCTCTTAGCCAGATTGCCCTCATATCTATGGGGAGCATCTGAGATGGACTGTCTCATGGAAAGGCAGTCACCTAGAAGAGTGGCTATAGCTGTTTCTCAGACTTGATGGATACCATGTTCCATGGGATGACATAGCTATCTCCAGCTAAGGTTCCTCTGTACTCTCTCAGCTCCACCTAGCAAAGTCAACCTTTGGAAGTAAAATTCAGATTACCTGCAAAGGATGCTGTGGTGTTTCTTAGACTCAATCTTGACTGATGGCAAAAGCTTTCAATTTCTTACTCTTCATAAATGCCTATGTCTAGTATATGACAAAAACTGCCCATCAGCCCTAAATCTAAAGACTGAAAAATATGAGGTTTCTTTTGTTATTTTTTAGTTTTGTTTGTGTGTGTGTGTGTGTGTGTGTGTGTGTGTGTGTGTGTGTGTAGGGGAGGGAGAGGGAGGAAAGAGGAAAGGAGGGAGGGAGGGCGGGCGCAAACTTGGGAGTCAGTCCTCTCTTTCCATTATGTGGGTCCCACAGATCATCAGGCTTAGCAGCAAGTATCTTTATCCACTGAGCCATCTCACTGGCTTGATCTGTTTTTCCGTGTGTGTGTTGTGTAATTACCACTGCAGCCTTGGATTTTTAAAACTCTGACTTATGGAAAGGACTCAATGGAAGAAACGACACTGATATGTAGCCACTGTTTCCCCTGAAGGAAGATATGGGAAAATTATACTACAAACTTTGACTAGAGTTAACTCTTTGGGGGATTAAGAGACATGCTTGGTTTAAATGTTGAAGTAAAAACCAGTTATAAATTGATATTTCAGGGGAGTTTTGAAATGTTATTCAAAACTCCAGAAGAGTCCCAGACAGTGGCAGTTGCTCCACTGATCCAGCACCTTATAAATTTAGAAAAGACCCAGACAGTGTCAGTTGCTCCCCTGATCCAGCACCTTATAAATTAAATAAGTAAACACACACACACACACACACACACACACACACACACACACACACACAAAACAAAACAAAACAAAACAAAACAAAACAAAACAAAACAAAAAACCCAACCCATCAGCCCACTGGGCTTCGGCACAAGACAAGCCATTCTGAGAGAGAAGAAGGCTAAATTTAGTCAGGCACAGGCCTACTCCCTTCCCACTGTACAAGATGCCAGTGGGAAGAATCAAGCCCCAAGACTGATTCTGCTGGAGCCGCACACTCAGAACTGCCTGATCAGCATGCTCTCAGCAGAGGCTCTTTGGGAAAACAAATGCAGGAATAATTGGCAATGATTTTCTTAACATAAACCTAAAACAAGAGAACTACTTGGCATGTATAACTGGGCATCCAAATGAATAGAAAATTCCTGAAAAACAGCAACAGAAAAGGCACCAGAGCGACACAGTCTAACCTGACTCTGAAAGAGTACATCAGCTGTGCCCTGCAGGGCCACTTTTGAAAAGGGACATCATAATCTGTGCCCCGGCAAGGCCACTTCCTTCTTAGGTAAAACACAACCGTCTCTTTCTCACATCCCAAGCACACAAAGCAAGGCCTCTACAGTGTCCTGCTTGTCCACTCCTGCGAAATCCTGCACATGCTCTTTTTGATGCTTGTCTTTCACCACTGTGGGTCTTTGGGATCTTTGGGCCCAGAGTCACCATCACCCATGCGACAGGACAGTGAAGTCTAAACTATAATGAAAATTCTTACACCAGCTCTTGTACCCAACATCCTCTCCTTTGTAACTGATTTTTATTAGTCGTCTACCCTTGGCTGGGACCCTTAGCTTCTTTGTTCTTTAGTTTCATCTATAAAATGGGCAAGTCAGTAGGACACATTACCCTAAGGGAGCTAGGAAAGTTTTATCTGAGTTGATCCACAGAGAACAGAAATGAAGGTTGATGGAGTGAACTGGATGTACAGATTAGGTGTGTGATTGCGTGTGGGGGTCAAAAGGGCAGGTTTGCCAGGAGGAACTCTGACTTGTTTTGAATCATGGCTTCTTTTGTGATCTGAAGCAATACTTCAGGAAAAGTGCTTGGATTCAAAATTTTATGCTCAATTTTAGAGCAGGATGGAGCTGGAATGTCTCAGGAACCCCTGAAATTCATTCCCAGACCCCCATTGAATCTGCACCTGCATGAAGGACCTCAGAATGGAAAGGAAGACCAACTTGATGCAAATTTCCCATCTGGTTTCTGAAGAGATTCATATGCTTTAGCTCAGGGAAAGGACTGGGGACAACAGAAGCACCTGCTATGGACCAGGTATGCTGCCGTTTCAAAGCAAGCTCCTTCCTGCCTGCTCCTGCCACCAGCACCAGGGCCAGTGGTGGCCATTAAACTGGGGCTAGAGAGGCAAAGTTTCAACACAAAAGTGTGGCTGAGGATTTACAGTTGTGTAGGCATACTGAAATTCAAGGCACACTCTTCTAAACAAGGACTTTCTCATGCCACTGGAAAGACACAATTATTGCCCTGAAGCTCACTGATGAGGGGTAAAGATATTTAAAAGCAACAACAACAAAAAAAAGAATTTTTTTTTTCAAAGTTCATCTTTGAAAAGAAATGATGAGCTTTCATTTGTGTAGTGTTACAGCTGAAAAGCCAAACTCAAAAACCTGCTTCTCAGACTACTTGAGAGGAAAAACTTACATTTACTTTTTTTTTTTTTTTTTTTTTTTTTTTTTTTTAAGTCTTTTTGGGACAGGGTCTCCTTGTAGGGGAGGGTCTGCTTCCAGCTGTCCTGGAACCCCCTATGTAGACCAGGCTGGCCTCGAACCCCAAAAGATCCCCCTGCCTCTGCCTCCCAAGTGCTGGGATTAAAGGCATGCGCCACCACACCCAGCTACATTTGCTTTTTAAGTGAGGGGTAACTCACGCCAGGCCATGGTCTTCAGGGAAAACTTTTAGAGATCATCAAAGAATAAACTTACATAAATTATCAGAGAATTGTGAAGCCATGAGTTGG